GCTATAAGATAAGTTATCTTACCTAAGTAACTTACAATTAGAGCATTAAATATCCAGCTCTGGCTTATAGCCCATATTTTATTCTTATTTTGTTATTTTATTGAGTCTATATTTATTCTTATAAGACATACAATTCACAAAAAAAATTAATTATACTTTTGTATAACTTATATATAATTGATTTGGAATTTTAAAACCGGTTTCGATCTCTCTACTGAAATCTTCTTTAACTGACAGACTTTTATGGACTGAGCAAGGCTATTGCGTTCGTTGTCTTTATATAGCACTTATCATTATTAATGATTTCCTTTTTTCTTCTCATTTTTATTTTTTTTAAATGGTATACCATATATAACTAGTTACTTTAAACGATTCTTTTTCAATTTTCTTGTTTTTTCTTATCTTTCAATTTCTTCTCATTTTTATTTTTTTTTAAATGATATACCATATATAACTAGTTACTTTAAACGATTCTTTTCCAATTTTCTTGTTTTTTCTTATCTATCAATTTCTTCTTTTATTTATTTCTTACGGAGAAAAATTTGTTTACTAACAGCAGATTTTATTTGTTGTGTTGTAACAAATTTTATCAGTTATTATATGGATAACAAAGGGATTTGTTAGGAATACTAATTGCTTTTTACTAAAACTACAAATACTTTTACCATAAGAACAAATAACTTTTAGTTTAATTATCAATGCTTTTTTGCTGTATTAACGATACAATTTTGTTACAAAGTACATTTGCGGTACTTAAAAAATGTTTTTATTCAACGAACAAAATCACGAACAAAATTTATTTGACTACATGAAGAAAAAATTACAGTTCCTACAACAGAATAATAATATTATTTTTTGCCCATCTATAAAATAGTTACAGGAATCATAGTACTCTTGAAATGACTTATGTTTGCCCTTAGTGAGAATAACTGTTATATAGATGTACAAGATGTAGATAGACAATTTTAATGATTATCTCTAGAAATTGTTTCTGTAATTACACTTATACTTGTTATACTTAATTTTATTTTAAACTAAATAATAGTACTTACAATGTGTATGAAAACCATGATATATTACGGTAGAATTATCTCCTCAGCATTGATAAGACATTTGTAAGAATTAGAAAGTGTGTTTGTTGGATACTGATAAAATTCAATTTATAGAAAAGTGCATTTCTCAGATGATTATCGTTATAGTTAACCTCCATTTTTTTTTATTATACTACGTCACTTATTTCTCTAACAATGAGTTGTCTTTCTAAGTAAGACAATGACATATATCTTACAAGATATCTTTCAGTTGAGATAACCATATGTGAAGGTATTCTAATCAAATATTATTTATTCTAAAAATTACAGTTGTGAGAACAATACTGATAAGTATAGCTTAACAATTGTATTCAATATAATATCAATATAACAAATATTCACATACATTTCTTTTCCAAATATAGAGAAAATATTATTGTAACAACCACAGCCATTTTTTCCGTGTATTTGAGCGAATTAAATTTGCTGTTATAGCAAGACACGTTTACTGAATCAATGTCTCAATCGCTTTCTTATTAATGTTTCTCAATGCAATTTTGTTATTGTCCTATTCTAATAAATATTTCAATGTTTTTCAATACATGTTCCCGTATTTTATATTTATATTAATTCTTTATACAATAAAATTTCAAAACTTACTGTTAATTGAAAGGCTTGCTGTAACAGTAATACATTTTGTACAAACAAAGGAAATAAACTCTATAATTACAATACTTAACAAGAAATGTACCAATATTATGTTCGGTTATGTTATAAAATATAGATTGTCTACCATTACAGCAAGCTCTTCAATTATGCATGGCAGAACGTATGATGACACAACTTTTTTTTAGAAAAAGTCATTAGAAAAACAATTTGTCGAGGACATTTTTATTTATTCATAAAGTTCGAAATTACTTCTTCAGTCATTTCCTAATTGTCTGGAAGATTGCGAAAATCGTTAAAAATACATATTGAACAAACAAGAAACCGTCATTATGCTACTGTTGAACTTACCTTTAAATATCATGAATAGAGATTTACACAGAATCAGGCCTTTATATTCCGATATTAGAATCAACGAATTTTTCCCTTTATCAAGATTGCAGAATGTTATAAGTAGTCGTAAATCATAAAAAATTTTTAAAGTAAGAATACATTGCATCTTGCACATATTTAAGTTTTAATGACATTCTATATCATATTTAACGATGCATACAACAAAGTTTCATTATATGCATACGTAATTTCACGACTTCCACAGGAAGGATATTAAAAATACAAATTCTTCCTTTATACATCTGTCTAAATTTTGTAATAATTTCTAATTAAGTTTTTTTCATTCTCTTGCATACCTAACAGTGCCAACTTCATTTCTGATGATCGTGTATTATTAATGTTAATTGAATGTATTTTGTCATCCTTCTCTTCTACTTGGGATATGTGCTTACCATGCCCTTGCGAGTTTTTTCATTTTTATAAACAGGTTCTTAGGCTTTTTCATTTCTCAACGAATACGAAGATCTACGAGGTGTACACTAACATGGATAGTTTACGAATGTGTGGATCGCAAAATAATCAAAGCGCATTGCTCTCTCTCATCCACCAGTGTAAAAGGTTTTTTTTATTTCGGAGTAAAAGGTCTGTTTTTTTACCATAAGGAAAAAGATTGAAAGTTTCTTTTTTTATGCTTATTGTTTAATATCCACGTCATTTCGATATCGAGAAGAATAAATTGATTTTTGTTGAGACTTTTATTTAAAGTTTCTATTTTTTTTCGGTAAATGTTATCTCTATTGGTAATATAGACGTGTCAGTAAAAGTATCAGTTATTGCATATCGACCTTTTTTTATCGTATTTTTGGCAAGGACAAAAAGTAATTTTGAAAAATATTGTCTTTACTTTCCCCCTTCCAAAAAAAATTCATAAGAACATTTAAAAAACAATGTGACAAAGTAAAAAACCCCATTTGAACTATATTACTTTCAAAGGTTCAAAAAACCATTGTCTTGAGTATTACACACACAATATTCTCCTAGCTAAAAAATAGCAATCCTAAAAAAGGATTTAGTTATCTAACATACATGTAACTAGTGCGAGGTCTATCTGAACTAACCTAAACCATTTCTTGTGTGCAGATCCATTTAAGGCCTATATCCATGACCTATATGCGTCATACATCTGTGCGCATCCGTGTGTATTCAAAGATTGCAGCAAACAAGTCACACCATAATAAATGTCAATAAAATATAATAAATTTACGTCATCCAGAATTTAAAAAAAATTATGACATGTATTCAAACTTAAAATTATAAATAATATACTGTCATGATTGTAGAATGTTACAAATAGTTAGAAATTTTAAAACAAACGATGGATTAAAGTCACAAAATAATAATAGTCACTAACCCATTTTACTTATATTATAAAAATTTTGTTTAAAATAATTTTGTATGAAAAGCACGAACATTCTATATTTTTTAGTAAATATAATATAATATAATATTTACACATAACAACTATGCTGTATATCGTACGATATTTAATACACAAAATAATATACACATAACAATTTTATCCATAATTTTTACAATTTATCGTTTTATACTTCTTTAGTATTCATTTTAAGTAGTTGCATGCATTTTAATGATTGAAATGAATTTTATATTTGTTATAGATTGTATATAATACGTATTCTTATATTTGATTGTATATAATACAATATATATTTTATTTTTGCGATGTTTGCTTTTACAACATTTATTGTATTTCAGTATTTGTTTCAAATGTTTGCGTTTTGCAAACGGGGACAAATCTTACACGAAGTGGATGAGTTGGACGAAGTATCATATCAGTTTGCATTCGAAGATTCTTTAAGTAATCAACGGGCTCCACGTAGAAATTATGAATTAGAGGTGCTATCATCGCCTTCATTTCCAACATAGCGTATCGTTGACCTACAATTTAATATGTATCGCAATCTGTTAAGAGGATGTAAAAATGATACTAGCTTACCGATACAATTGCGTGGCCCAGCACTAAACGGTATATATGAATAAGGATGACGGTTTAGG